GCTTCCAGACACACTCACACAAAAGGTTAAGGGAATATATTAGCACCAAACCAGCACTGCCAGAAATGTTACAAGGACTGCCTTAATTAGTAGAAGAAATAGGAAGAAAAATATAACCACAATAAATAAAAATGGAAATAAATAAGTACCTATCAATAATAACTTTAAATGTAAATGGATTAAATGCTCCAATCAATAGACACAGAGTAGCCAACTGGATAAGAAAGCATGATTCATATATATGTTGTTTTCAAGAGACCCACCTCACAACAAAAGACTCACATAGGCTGAAAGTGAAGGGATGGAAAAAAATCTTCCAACCAAACAGAAAGGAAAAGAGCTGCGGTAGAAATACTCATATCTGATAAAAATAGATTTCCAATTGAAGGCCATAACTAGAGACAAAGAAGGCCACTGCATACTGTTGAAAGTATCTATCGAAGAGAAAGATATAACTGTGGTAAACATATGCACCCAATATAGGAGCACCAAAATATATTTTAAAACTTCTGGAGGACTTTGAAGGAGAAATCGACAGCAATACAATCAAAGCATCACTAGATAGATCCTCTAGACAAAATATCAACAAGGAAACAGAGACTTTAAATTATGCACTAGATCAAATGGATTTAATAGATATTTACAGAGAATTATACCCCAAAACTGCAGAATTCACATTCTTCTCAAGTGCACAGGGGATATTCTCAAAGATCGTCAACAAAATATTAGCAAATAAAATTCAACAATACATTAAAAGGATCATACACCATGATCAAGTGGGATGTAGTCCAGTGATGCAAAGATGGTTCAATATCTGCAAATCAATAATGTGATAAACAATATCAACAAAAAAGATAAAAAAATGTATAATCCTCACAATAGATATACAAAAAGCATCTGACAAAATTCAATATACATTTTAGATTAAAAACTCTCAACATAGTGGGTATAGAAGAAACATATTTCAACATAATAAAGGCCATATATGACAAACCCACAGTTAACATCATACTCAATGGTGAGAAGCTTAAATCTTTTCCTCCAAGTTCAAAAAGACAAAGAATCCCACTCTCAACAGTTTTATTTAGCATGGTATAAGAAGTCCTAGCCACAGCAATCAGACCAGAAATATAAATAAAGGAACCCCAATTGGGAAGGAGGAAGTAAAACTGTCACTATTTATAGATGACATACTATATTTTCAAAACTCTAAAAATGCCACCAGAATCTGTTAGAACAAATATATGAATTAAGTTGTAGGATATAATATTATATACGAAAACAGTTGTTTTTTATGCACTAATAACGAACTATCAGAATGAGAAATCAAGGAAACAATTTCATTTACAACTGCATTAAAAAGAATAAAATACTAAGTACAAACTTAACCAAGAAGATGAAAGATTTATTCTCTGAAATCTATAGGACATTGATTAAAGAAATAGAAGAGGACACAAATAAATGGAGAGATATTCCATATTCATAGACTGGACGAATAAACATCATTAAAATGTCCATACTTCCCAAAGCAATCTACAGATTCAATGCAATCCTTATCAAAATAACTATGACATTTTTCACAGAATTAGAACAAATAATTCTAAAATGTGTAGGAAATCCATAAGACCCCAAATAGCTAAAGTAATGTTGAGAAACAAAAACAAAGTTGGAGGTATCCAGCTCCCTGATTTTAAACTATACTACAAAGCTATACTAATCGGAAAGGTATGGTAATGTTACAAAAGCAGACACTGGAACAGTATAGAGAGCCCAGAAATAAACCTATGTTTATATGGTCAATTAATATATGACAAAGGAGGCAAGAATATACAATGAGGAAAATACAATCTCTTCAACAAATGGTGCTGAGAAAACTGGATAGCTACATGCAAAAAATAATAATAATAAAGAAAAGAAAATGGACCACTTTTTAATACCACGTATAAAAATCATCTAAAACTGGATTAAAGACTTAAATTTAAGACCAGAAACCATAAAAATCCTAGAAGAAAATATAGGCAGTAAACCTTTTGACACCAGGCTAATAATATTTTTTTATATAGTAACCCCAGCAAGGACAAAAAAAAAAAAAAAAGCAGAAGAAGAGGAAGAAGAAGGAGGAGGAGGAGAAAGAACAAGAAGAAGGAAGAAGAGGAGGAGAAGGAGAAAATGGAACAATATCAAACTGAAAAGCTTTTGCACAGCAAAGAAACCATCAACAAAATGAAAAGGTAACTCATTAAATGGGAGAACATCTTTGCAAATGATATATCTGATAATGCGTTAATATCTAAACTATATAAAGAAATCAATAGCAAAAAAAAAAAAACACCCACAAACATTCCAATTAAAAAATGGGCAGAGGACATGCACAGGTATTTTCCCAAAGACATACAGATGACCAACAGACATATGAATAACTATTCAGCATTGCTAATCATCAGGGAAACACAAATCAAAACCACAGTGAGATATCACCTCACACCTATCAGATAGACAATAAATAACATGTACTGGAGAGGATAGAGAGAGAAGGGAATTCTTATACACTGTTGGTGGGATTGTAAATTGGTGTGGCCACTGTGAAACATAGTATGGAGATTCCTCAAATAACTCAAAATATAATTACCACATGACACAGCATTTCCACTTCTGGGTAGCTATCCAAAGGGAAAAAAAAACACCACTAATTTGAAAAGATATATGCACCACTATGTTTATTGAAGTATTTTTCACAACAGCCAAGATATGGTAGCAACCTAGGTGTCCATTGATAAAGAAATGGACAAAAAAGGTGTGCTATATATATACTATGAAATATTACTCAGCCATAAAAATGAAATCTTGCCATTTGTGACAATGTGGATAGCCCTAGAGAGTACTAAGCCAAGAGAATTAAGTGAGATAGAGAAGGACAAATATGATATTGTTTTATTTATATGTACATTCTAAAAAACAAAACATATGAACAAACAAACAACACAAACAGACTAATAGATAAATAGAGAAAACTGATGGTTGCCAGAGGATAGAGGAATGGATGAATTGGCAAGAAAGGTAAAGAAGAATAAGAGATACAACTCTGGCTGATGTGGCTCAGTGGTCAGAGCATCGGCCCACACACCTGAAGGGTCACTGGTTCAATTCCTGGTCAAGGGCACATACTTGGGTTGTACAAACCTGGACTGCAGGTTCAAACCCCTGCCTGAGTCAGGGAGCATGTGGGAGGCAACTAATGAATGTCTCTGTCACATCGATGTCTCTCTCTCCCTCTTCTTATTTACCCCCTCCCTCCCTCCCTTCCACTCTCTCTAAAAATCAATGGAAAAAATATCCTCAGGTGAGTATTAACAACAACAATAAAGTCTTAGGGATGCAATGTGCAGCATAGGGAATATAGTCACTAGTATCATAATAACTTTGAGGATAACAGATAGTTACTAGATTTATTGCAGTGATCACTTTGTAAGGTGTATAACTGTTGAATAACTATACTGTACACCTTAAACTCACACAGTATTGTATGTCAACTATACTTTCATAAAAGATAATATATGCACATGTCCGGGTTGCGGGCTTGATCCCCAGTAGGGTGTGCAGTAGGCAGCCAATCGATGTATCTCTCACATCGATGTTTCTATCTCTCTCTCTAAAAATCAATTTTAAAACATATTTTTAAAAGAATATTAAAAAAGATAATACATGTTCTTTATTCTATTGTTATTTTTAAAAAGAATCTTGCAATAACTTCAATCCTATTTTGAAAAAAATAAGGATATGTAATGATAAGATCCTATTACTCTACCTCTATGTATCATCAAATTCACCCAATCTTTAACCTGTAGTAAAATTATGAGATTAAATGGTCATGTTAGAAAATAACTGTTTGGTGAACTGAAGGAATCCTCAGACATCCTTCAAGATGAGAGGTCAAATAGAATAAGAAAAGGCATAGAGGTAGAGGGGAGATTGGTAAGTGAGTGGGACCTCAAAAAGCCAGCTCAATTAGTATGAAAGGTGTGCACCAGATGTGGTCCTCAGGGAGACATGAAAGTCACCATGAACATATTAAGATAGAAAATGGCCATGCCATGAAGGCCCTTCCAGGTCATAATAATGAGGAGTTTGAATGGAAGGATGGTAGGAAATTAGATCCCTGTTAGTGCTGTGAATCAGAGTCCAAGTGACATATTGGGTGGTGGCAGAAAAGATCAGATGTTGAGAGAATAATTAAGAATACTTAAAATAATCTCAGCCTTTTCTGTCAAAGAGGAAGGCATGAAACTATGTAAATCCCAACACCTAGCACATGAATTGATGAAGTATTTATTTAACTTGTGGTTAAGTTGAAAGAGAGTAAGTACTGTAGTGGGCACTGAGCTGTTTACTAAAACAGCAGAGAGCTAGAATAGGGATTGTGCTCCTTAGCCAGGCCAGGAGCCAAAACAGAATGAAGCCTGTAATGTAGTGGAATGACTGTGGGTTAACACATTTATGGTCCACAGTCATGGAAATACACAAAGGGAAGTTCTGCAACATTTCAGTTCTGCCAGCATCTCCCCTGGAAGGCCGACTTCTACCTATTCCAACGTGGCAGACTAGATCATAAGCTCTGTGAGGGTAGGTTCTATCATGTCTTGTTCACTGTTGTGTCCCCCATGCCAAGCGCAGTGCCTGACACATAGCAGGGCCACAGCCACTGCATTTCTTTCTCCACCACAAATGCTTAGTAACTAGGCATAAAATATAATCATTTATGCCTTAAATCCTCTTATATTTACCAAAGTAACCAATAAGACAATGATGGGAGAGGGTGGTACTAAAATAGCATCTCCCAAATAGGAAATTTGGTATGGTTTACTGGTGAGCTATATTCTTGGCGATGGCCTAGGTTGCCATTTAAGCAGGCACCAGAGCAACCCATTAAGAGAGACCCTTAGGCGATCTAATGTTTCTGAGGACCAGAACAGAAATCCTTGAATCTGAGATATTTTACTCACCAATGACCAAAAAAGTGGTCAGGAGTATGCCAACTGCCATGCCCACAGTAGGCATCCCAGCCTGGTGACCTGCTGGCCGGAAACAGCTTCCCTCCACACACGTGCAGAAAGTAACTGAAAAGCAGAGCAGTATTAGATAGTTTAATTTTTTAAGTGAACAGCTGCAGAATCTCATATCAAAGATGAGAATTCTTTCAAACTACCCATGGTAACAGACATTATCCCAAGTTGCCTGCAGCAAAATACCTACCTGGTAGAGAGACAGTCCCTTCTAAGGGTGGCCGACCACCATCGTTGATGCGGATGGGGATATTATAAACTTTCTCCTCGAAGCCTGTGTGCTTAGTGGAGAGTCTGGCATGAGTTCCTGTCAGAACAGAGGTAAAATAAATTACAAGAAACACAACTTCAGACCCCAGATCAGCAGGAATCAAGCTCATCTTTGTATCAGGTACTAAGGATGTTAGGGAAATGGTTAAATGCAAGTCTGAGTTACACTACCAAAGTATCACCACTCCACATGTACCTTCCATAATGTCTAAAAGGACTGAAACATTGTTCAAGTCCTCAATTCATGATTTCTCTGTAGAAATGAATACTAAATAGTCAGTTAGTTATCATTATTCCCAGTTATTATGTTTATAAAGTTGCCATGAACACTGAATTATAAGGAAAAAAATATTTGAAGAAATCATTGTTAATTCCTCCCCACCCTCCTAAATTAATAAAAACTAAAAACTAAATCCTCAACCAAGAAGATCAGAAAATCTCAGGGAAAAGAAAAAAATAAAAACAGAACTATGACAAGGCACATAATAATCAAATTGCATAAAGCTAGTAATAAAAGAGAAAATCTTAAAAGCATCCAGAGAAAAAATATATATTATATGCAAGAGAACAAAAAAGAAAAAATGCAATCCAGAACACAGTGGAGAAATCTTGAATGTAGTGAAAAAAAATTTTTTAAAGTCTCAACAAATTGAAAAATATTCAAGTGAAATTTCTCTGGTCACTATGGAATTAAGTTAGAAATCAGTAACCAGAAAGATAAAGAAAATACCCAAATATCTGGGAACAAAATAACACATTTCTAAATAACTCATGGGTCACAGAAAAAAAATCTTTAAAAATTAGGTATTTAAATGGAATGAAAATGAAAACACAATACATCGAACTCTGAGGAATGCAGTTAAGGTGACACTAAAAGATAAATTTATAACACCAAATGCCTATGTTAACAAAGAAAGAAATTCTCAAATCAATTACCTCAGCTTCTACCATAATGAAAATAGTACAAGAACAAATTAAATACAGCATAAGAAGAATAAAGAAAATCATATATATCTAAGAGATGAAATACAAAGCAAAAACACAGTAGAGAAAAAATCAATGAAATCAAAGGTGGTTCTCTGGGAATATCAATAAAATTAATAACCTCTAGCCAGATTGATCAAGGAGGAGAAAAGAGACATTATTTTCCAACATCAGAATGAGGTGATATCACTATATAGTCTGCAGATATTAAGAGAATAATAAAGTAATATAAATAACTTGTGCCAATAAATTAGACAAATCAAATTAAATAGACAAATTATTTGAAAGAGACAAACTCAAGCTCAGCCAAGAAAAAGTCTATAACTTGAATAGCCCTATATCTATTAAAGAAGTTGTATTTGTAGATAAAACTTTCTACAAAGAAAACCCCAGGCCCACATGACTTCACTGGTGAATTCTACCAAATTTCAAGGAAGAAAAAAAATTTTATTTACACAAACTGTACCAGATAATTGAAGAGAAGAACACTTTTCATTCATTCAATGAGGTCAGCAGTACTCTGACATCAAAACCAGACAAAGACACTACAAAAAATACGTAGACTAATATGTCTCATGAATATAGATGTAAAAATTCTTAAGATTTTATCATGTCAAATCAACAGTATAAAAAAAATGTTAAAAATGTTTATCCCAGGATCAGAAAACTAGTTTAAGACCCAAAATTGATATAGTTAACTGACTAACAGACAAAAACACACACAAATCAACCATACAATCATCTCAATAGATGCACAAAAGGCACTTGAAAATTTTAACACCCATTCTTAATTTTTAAAAAGCAAACAAACCTCTCAACAAGTTAGAAATAGAAGGTAAATCCCTCAGCCTGATAAAAGCCATCTACAAAACCTAAAGCTAACTTTATACTTAATGGTGAAAGATGAATGCTTTCTCCTTAAGATCAGGAACAAGCCAAAGTATTTCTTCTCTTGCTACCTTCATTCAACATTGTACTGAAGGTTTTAGCCAGTAATAGAGCAAAATTCAGATGGGAAAGGAAATAAAATTGTTTTTATTCACAGACAACATAATTGTCTATGTAGAAAATCCGTGGAATCTAAAAAAAAAGAGAGAACTGATAATGAGGTCAGCAATGTTATAAAATACAAGAACAATACACAAAAATCATCAATTATATTCCTATAGCCTGAAATTGCTTAAAGACTAAAATATTTTAAATACCATGCTTAGGGGGAAATATGAAATGCTTAGGGAAAATTTTGCAAGGACTGTACACTGAAAATTAAAACACATTGCTCTGAGAAATTAAGAAAGACCTAAATAATGGAGACATATGTCATGTTTATGGGTTAGAAAATTTAGTTCTATTAAGGTGTTAATTCTCCTCCAAATTCAGTGATAGAGTCACACAATCTCCATCATAATACCCATAATTTTTTTGGTAGGAATGGATAAGCTAAATTCTAAAATGTATACAGAAATGCAAAAGACCTATAATAGATTAAATAATCTTGAAAAAGAACAAAGTTGAAAAAACTCACACTGCTTGCTTTCAAGTGTTATTATAGAGCTACGGTAATCAATAGAGTGTTATACTGGTATAAAAATAGACCAAGAGATTAATGAAACAGAAAAGAAAACCCAGAAATAGATCTATATATATATGTGTATGTATGGTCACCTGATTTTTGACAAAGCTTCCAAGGCAATTCAATGCGAAAAGGATACTTTCAATAGTGTTAGAACGATTAGATAACCATATTAAAAACAATGAACCTGAACCTTTACCGTGCACCATATTCTAAAATTAACTTGAAATGGATCATAGAGCTAAATGAAAAGCTAAAACTATAAAAACCCTTGGGGAACAGAAAAACAGGAAAATTTTAGAGACCTTGAGCTTGGCAAAAAATTCTTAAACATTATACAAAAAAGTCACAAACTGCACAAGGAAAAAAATATATGATTAACAATTTTTAATTTGTTCTGCAAAAAACACTGCTAAAAATGAAAATGCAACCCATAGTGTTGTATGAGCAGTCAGTTATTACACTGAGTTCTTAAAGCAGGGCTGTCAGCGCACAGAAGGGTCATGAGTTCAATTCTCAGTCAAGGGCACGTACCTGGGTTGCAGGTTCCATCCCCGATCCGGGTCTGGACACCAATCTATGTGTCTCTCTCACACTGATGTTTCCCTCTCTCTCCCTCTCTCCCTCCCTCCCCCACTCCCACTCTATTTTTTAAAAAAATCAATGGAAAAATATCCTCAGGTGAGGATTAAAAAAAAAAGAAGTATTGATACACACAACAACATGACTAAAACACAAAATAAATATGCTAAGTGAAGTTAGCCAGGTGAAAAAAGATTACATTCTTGAAAATGCAAACTAATCTATGGTGGACAGAAAGCAAATCAGTGGTCACTAGGTGACAGGGGAAGAGAAAGGCAGGTTGAAAACAGGGACTGTAACAGCAGGTAAAACTTTGGGTCGGTGGAAATACTCTTATTTTGATTGTGCTGACTGCATTCAATGGTATAGCCAGGTGTCAATTTTTATAAAATTGTATACTTTAAATATGTGCTGTTCATTGTATGTCTATTATATTTCAATAAAGCTATTTTAAAAAAAATCATTATGAAATCTGTTTCTCAGCTGCCCTTCGTAATTTTGCAAAAGCTGCTCATGTTATCCAACTATGGGGATGGCTGTGTGCTAACAATCTTTCCTCCCTCCAAAGCCAGGGCTTCTCCCCTCGAGAGAGCTGCCCTGTGCAAGTTTCCAAAGCATCAAGTTCCTTCTGGGAGCACGAGAGAATGCTCTGTGCCCAGTGCTGTAAGCACACCAAGGCAAATAAAAGCTAATGTCATGGCCCATCCGTGTTTTTCCTCAATGTACTTGTGACCACTCACCATTGATTTTGGAAACTTCCCAGTCATTTTGTAAGCTTTCACTGCCGAGGGAGAATGTAAACTGGGGACCCCGAAATGACTGCTGATCATCATCAGTAGCCTCAAAAACGAGACTTCCAGGTTCTCGGAGGGGGTAGCAGAAGAACAGGCCGGTGTACTCCTTGGCCAGCCGCGGGGGGTTGTCGTTCACATCCGTCAGGCTCAGGTGGAAAGCTGCTGTGCTGCTCAGGAAGGACCCGCCTAAGGAATGGAGCGATTGGAACAGAGGATCGGCGCTCTCATTTCCTCTTAATAAGAAAGAATATTTTCCTTTTTTGAATTACAATTCAAGTAGTTGGCTATATTGAGGTAGTAGAAAGATGTCAGGCTTTTAGAATCAGACGTGTTTTCATTTTTAACCAGGAAATGATAATAACTAAGACTGATGTGCTCAGATTTCATCTACATTTACAGATAGAGGGCTGCGGCTCAGGGCAGTGGTGTGACTTGCCCAAGGTCATACAGCAAGAGAAGCTTCCGACCCAGGTCTGGCATCAGAGCTCATGCCTTTCATTGCTCTTCAGCACTGACTTAGGCATGTTCGTTATGTTTTCTAAGCGCCATTTCTTCAGCTGTAATACACGTGGCTTTGTGAGTGAGCCACGTGTATTACACCCCAAATACAGTGTTCTTAGAAAAGAGTGAAGGGCTACACAATAGTTACTAACTCTGGTGGAGTGGTGAAAAATGTGGACTCTGTAGCCTGAATGGTAGCTAAGTGATCATGAGCAAGCTGCTTAACTGCTCAGGACCATTGGTTTCCTCATCCATAAAATATGGTCATTAACAGTACCTACCCATAGGGTTGTATCAGTGGTCAGTTATCACACCGAGTTCTTAAAACATGGCTGTTGGTGCAGTGTAAAAACATTGTTCTCATTCTCCCTGACTTCAATCAGATACCGCTTCTAACATGTGTGGCTCCAACCTGCTTCAATTCCAGTGAACCCCGTTTTCTTGCTTTTCTTTTCAACTGTCTTCTATGTTCCTGACTACATTTAACCAAAGGAGGAAAAGCCACCATGCTCTTAAGGTCATTTAATCGATTCGCATTATTTCAGGGCTGACAATGGCAAATTGGAACAGGATTGCGAACCCTAGCTGTGATTCATAAATCTGCTAAATGTGAAAGGACGTTAGGACACATACAAAGTGAAGTGTTGCCCCCACAGTCTGTTGTAACAGAATGCCCAGCATGAAGGCCCAGCCAGAAGCTTCCTCCTGGTTAATCGGGAGCTGTTAAATCAAATTAAATGTATGCAATGTGATAGCAGAATGTGCAGAACTAGGAACAAGCAAGAGAGCCAATGGCTGACCATCCGCTCACATGCATCTCTTCCAAATTCGGCCCACCTTTCCGTACCTCCCCTCTCCTTGGCATTGATTGGCTTCTTTTGTTTTTATTCATCTTTTCTCATGAGGGGAACATTTTTATGATTCCCACTTACTAAAATGTTCCCCACTCCAGCTCCCAACCCTGGGCCTCCCATTTTGAAAGTTTAGTTTTTGGTCTAAAACTGTATTTATTATGATAAGTTCAATTCTCATTTTTTGGTAAACCCAGCAGATATAGTGACTCCCTACTTATTAGAGGCTCTAATCAGCATAAGATCAATAGAATTCCTACTCTAAATTGAAACATTCCATTTAAATGCAAAGAAATTCAATGTTTTAATCATCACTCTTATCACTGGTAAGCCTACTATTTCCGTGAGTTTAATTTTAATTTTTTAAATTCCCTGAAACTCCACATTTAGAACTAGTGGGTGAGATACATCACCACAACTGAATCAAATGAGATGTAAAGATTACATAAGGGCAGTTCAAACATCCTTTTCTTATCTAAATAATAAGTCTTTCCAAAGTTCACCCTATTTCATCAAAACACAGATAGATACCCAGGGCCACCCAAACTTGCTGAATCAGAATTGCTACGTGAATTCCCGGTATCTGCACTGAACAAGCCCCTCAGGTGACTGTGGCACATGTCAAAGTGAGAACACCAAATAACACTTTTGTTTCAAAAAGGATAAGGTGTTGCCATTTAAGGCTGGAGAAGAAAGTAACGGGTGTAGGGGAGCCAGGCAGTGGTTTGACCAAGATTCTGGGAGACACCTCCAAACACTTTGGAGAAGGTGGGTAGTTCAGTGGGCACATGGGAACCTTCCTGGAGCTGTAGCCCCTTCGGGAAACCAGAGTGAGCAGCACCCACGAACCCTAGCCAGCCTGTGCAGGCAACGCTGCAGGTACTCAGGGCACAGGTAGTTCTCATCTTGAACAAAACCAGGAAGAAGTTCCCTCTACTTTTGTATCCTTCCTGTCTTTCCACTATAAAATATTCTGACAATCTGACCCAGTGAACTTCCCGCTCACTTTCCCTCCCGCCTATTTCTCCTGATGTATTCCCTAATAGTTTTTTACTTTTAGTTTTGCTCACCTACTTCGGTTGCCACCACTTGTACCCGATACAGACTTTCAGCTTCCCTGTCCAGCGAAGCCACACTGAAGATCTCGCCAGTGACACGGTCAATTTTAAGCCAACCTCTTTCATCGTCTCTCAGTGAATAACTTCATCAGGTGAAAAGAGCAAAAGAAAAGCCCTCATTACATTACGTAAAAATGTGAAGATAGTTTATGCATCACTATGCTATTATGTCAATAATACCCCTTGCATATTACTTACAGCATATTTAAAAGATCATTATTTAATATTATTGTTTTATTTGCGTATCACCTATCTTCAAAACGGGCATTTGCTCATCTTTACAAAGTACTAGTTGTACTTGTTTTATTAGAAAATGTATAATCACAAACTCTGGGGAAAAACAATTCAATTTTTCTGGCAATCAAAGAATTCTAATGAAAACAACCTGAAAGTATCTTTTTAAACTGACTAGCAAACCACCCTTCTAAGAAAACTTGAACACCCACTGGTGGAGATGTTGCGTGAATGGGTGGATACTCAGAGGCTGCTGGGGGCCCAGCGAATTCTCTCTTCAACAGACATCTACTGAGTGCTTAGCAAATACCAGGCAGTAAACCAAGACAGGAGATTACAAAAAGGGGCTCTTAGGCCAGTAGAGAAAACAGACAAAGAGATAAATAATTCCAATAAAATGTGGTAAATACAATGAAAGGGAGCTAAGAGAAAGAGAAGAATTAACTTATGTAGGCCAAATACTCTGGAGTCATCTTAATTTCTAACCAACTTAATAAATACTAGCATCCGAACTGCTGATTACTCTTTATTCTGAAAACACTTTTTTTTTTTTTAATCTTCACCTGAGGACACTTTTGCATCCATCTTCAGGTAGAGTGAGAGGGAGAGAGGGAGGGAGAGAGAAAAGAGAGAAACATCGGTGTGAGAGAGATACATCAAGTGGTCGCCACCCACACAACTCCAACCGGTGCCGGGGACAAACTGCAACGGAGGTACGTGCCCTTAGCGGGAACCGAACCAGGGTCTCTCTGGACCATGGGCTGATGTTCTAGCCACTGAGCCAAACCGGCCAGGGCTGAAAACACTCTTTTTATTCGTCTTCCAAGACCGTCTCTTACAGGACACTTCCCTTCTCAGTCTTTTTCCTCATCTTTCTAATCTCAATTTAATAGTGTGTACATTATATCTTTTCCTTGATCTATCTGAGAAATTTTCTTAAATGCTTGTGTTTTCGCCATTCATAAACTCAAATTTTTGTTCACTTGTCTTTGACTAATGATTTTTACAGCATTCTCATGAAGGAGAAAAAAATATTGGTTAAACAATAAATGGTTGTAAAATTACAAACGTGTTCCCATCAGAATCTTTGACTCTGATGTAGAGAGTGTATCTATACTAAACTGTACAGTGAAGCCTCCACTGGTCTTTCCCTTTTATAAAACTAGAGAAGGGGTAAGGTAGATAGTTGAGAACTTTACTCCTTGACAATCAGAAAAAGGTCTTAGAACTGATTCCAAGGGCCTAAATGACAGCTCATTGGAAGGCAAGATTCCCTTCAACTATTTAGAGAAACTTTAGGAATTGTCATCAAAACCGTATGTACTGGTTTAAGTCATACTGAACTCTTTGTCATGCCTTACACAGTAGGGCTGTTATACAATGGAAGGAAAAGATCTGGGTTCTAGTCCTGACTATGTGCTCATTAACTATGTGAACTTAAAGAGGTTATATATATTAATACAGATATATGTACACACACATACGTGTATCTCTTGGGCAAATTAATTATCATTGTATATTTTTAAGACAAATGTGTGTGAATCCTATTGCGTTGAAAAAAAATTGAGAATTGCTAAGATGGGCAGATTTACACATTTGTTTAACCACCTCAGACTGAACACTAGCCTCTCCAGGGGTACACTCTGGAATGAGGCTTGTTACCCCAGACCTGCTCTCTGGGGAGTCAAGGAACCTATACACTCTATATCCAGAAGATGCCCTTCACCTTGTCAGGTGGCTGAGTCTGCCCAGTTGGGCTTTTGCTTCATTCTTTCTCTCTAGACCTCCAGTCAGCTTTAGGGGCTGGGCTGGAACTCTCCCCCGAACCCCAGCCCCTGGGACTGGTTCCGACACAGGATCTGGCTTTGGGCAGTCCCATCTCTAGACCCCCATCTCCTAAATTTACCAGCTCTCAGTGGGACTTGCAGTGAGTGGGCCAAAGAGAACCTGACATGCTTTCCGCCCGCCTGAGCCTGGATTTCCCCTGCTCCCCACCCAGGGTACTGACCCCTGCAGCCACCAAGGACAAGTTTACCATGTGCACTGGACATGGCTTCGAATCACTGGCTGCTCCCATGGGAGAGAGCTCGGAGTCAGGCCAGGCCCTGCGCCCCTCCCAGCCCCTCCTCCATCCCACCGGCCTTGGTCACCGCACAGCCAGGCTTGCCCAGCCCTGTTCTCTACCTTATGTCCAGACTTTCCGGATCCTTGGCAGTCACGTTGCCCAATTTAGTGCCTACAGCCACATCTTCACTGACTTTTGCTTGGAATACTCGTTGGGAAAATTGAGGTGCTTCATTCACATCTGTCACAAAAAGATTGAATGTGGCAAAAGAGCTGGCATTGTACTGTACATCAGACACCAGAGGCTCAGGGTTTTCCGCTTGGAACACAATGTTGTGAACGGCTGCTGTTTCAAAATCAAGAGGCTGTGTAGGGCAAAAAACAGAGAAAATTATCTTGGGGATGATTAGCTCTCTTAAAAGACTCATTCCCTACTCTCCTTTATTTTTTTATTTTCTTATCCTCACCCAAGGATATTTTTCCATTTTTTGTTCAGGTAGAGTGGGAGGGAGAGAGAGAGAGAGAGAGAAACATTGATGTGAAAGGGACACATTGAGTGGCTACCACCAGGGCCGGGGACAAACTGTAACTGAGGTACGTGCCCTTAGCGGGAACCGAACCCGGGTCTCTCCGGACCACAGGCCTATGCTCTAACTGCTAAGCCAAACTGGCCAGGGCTCCCTACTCTCCTTTAAAAACTCTCACAGGCCCTGGCTGGTTTGGCTCAGCAGTTAGAGCGTCGGCCTGCGGTACAGAGAGACCCGGGTTTGGTTCCCGCTAAGGGCACGTACCTCAGTTGCAGTTTGTCCCCGGCCCTGGTTGGTCGTGCGGGTGGCAGCCACTGGATGTGTCCTTTCACATCGATGTTTCTCTCTCTCTCTCTCTCTCTTCCTCTCTCTCTCTCCTGCTCTATCTGAACAAAAAAATGGAAAAATGTCCTCGGGTGAGGATTTAAAAAAAAAAAAAGATAAAAACTCTCACAGAGCAGCAGTTCGTGAGTCAGTGCCAGCAAATACCTACTTCTCAGAATGATAATGGAGTCATGAAAAAGTCTGTGCTGCAGGACTTTTCAGAGCTTTTAATGTGCTAATATGTATTCAGACTCTCCTAGAAGAGCAAATCAATGCAGCTCCTCAAATGTATTTAACCCTGGGACAGTTCATTCACTCATTCAGCAGAAACTTATTGATTCTTCCAAGAGAGTTCCCCGAATACAGCATGGGAAATGCTTAGATAGAAATTTCCACATTATATAGAAAATGGTTTTAGAGGAACCGCAGGATCCAAACCCCAAAATAAAAGTCCTTAAACTCATGGAGAGTGGAAGAGGTTAGAGGAGATGATCGAAAAACAGGTGACCTGCTCTTGTTCCAGGTCATTCCAGACAGGGCCAAAAATTTAAAAAATCAAGAAACTAATTTTGGTTTAGTGTCAGGAAGAATTTCACAGTTAGGTCTACCCAAGACAGGAAGAGTTACTTCAAACAAAGTAAGTTCTCAACTCTGGAAGATTTCAAGAATGGGCTTAAATAACATGTGACAGGCTAGCACAGCATCGGAAGGACTTAAATATCATTTAAGTAATTGGTGCTATGGGACTTTTAAGGTCTCCCTCAAGGCACAGAATCCATGATCTAAGGGGGAAATTTTCTAATCCTGCAGAGTGGAACAACCCCATAAAGTCGGGCTTCTTAACTAGGATGAAAGGGTGTCTGGGGATCTGTGAACCTCTAGAAGCCAAAATCAGAATAGTGTATGTATGTGCATATGTAGATTTTTTTCTAGGGAAAGTATATGTAGCATTGTCAGAGTCTCAGTGATGCCAAGGACCTCAAAAAGATGAAGGAACCAAAGTAAAGCCCAAAAGGTACATTATGGATCATGGAAGCTACACTATTTTATTTTTTATTCCATGCCTGGAGGACCCAGGACCTCTTGGTGAGCTGTCAATCCCTTCACTTTAGTTTACACCTATTTATATCATTGATTAAACAGAAATGGTAATATCCATTTGTGAAGAGAAAAACTCATGGAGGGTTTGACACATGATTGCATTAGTTCAGCCTACCCTTCCTTGACATCTGAAAAAAATTCTCCCCAAGTCAGAAGTTGGCTCAACGCTGTCCTCTCCAGATTGGCTTCCCTGATCCCCACCTTCATCCCCAAATGGATGAACTCCACGTCCTCTGCAATATCACAGTACCTGACCAGGATTCTAATTTTTTCATTATCTATTTCAGATTCTCATTAACCATAAGTTCTCTGAGAGGAGAAATTGTGTTATATTCATCATTGCTTCTCATCTCTTCCTTGACACGCAGTACCCATAGTATATCAGTCAGAAACATAAAGACGAGAAGGCCTTGGTCTTTCTTGAACCCTCAAGGGCCTCAGTAGAGAAGAGTACAAAGATTTCTGCTTTCTAGAAACCCCTGTCCTCCATGCACACGCAACACACACAACATCACAATTCAATTTCTAATTCAATAGAAAGTACGATAGAAAGATCGCTCAGAAAAAAAGTATGATAGGAAGAGAAAAAATTATATGTGAAGATGCAAAGTCATTGGAAATAGAAAATAAGAAGCGATTGACAGAACATAAATATACAGGATATAAAATATTATAAGCCAGCTGAGATGTGCAAAGAGAGCGGTTATTCACAGAGATAAGCACCACTGTCTGCAGGGTACGACCCGCGATGACCTCGTGATCACTGCCACGTGGTCTGATCGGGCTCCTCACCTGGGGGTGGGGGTGAGAGGGAGCAAGCTGAAGCTTCTGACTCCCAGAAACCCAGTCCTCCTTTCAGGGGATGAAGACGAAGGTATCAAATTGAGAAATCTTGGCAGATGGAGCAGAAAGCAGCCCCCAGAGCAAACCCATGATGAGGATGAAAGGACAGAAATCAGGCCTCTCCTTTTCTTTGTTGTGGGCTTTCCCCAATTTATGAGAAGCACCTAGTAATTAAATCCTGAGACTGTTGGCTCCTGCTTTCAAACAGTGGGACCAGACAAGGCTGCGCTCTCCCTCCCCCACTCCCCACCTCCCTGATGATTCAACAGCTCCGGGATGATTGCACTAGGAGTCTTCGGTTAGTGGGAAGTTTAATTAGGCTTCCTCCTCCTTCCCTATCCCCACCCTACCCCCACCCCCATTCAGACAGGCCTCTCCTCTTTGAACTCTTTATAGCTTTTGTTCTAAGCTTGTTTTACAGGGTTGGGAAATTGCCAATGAGATATATCAGTATTTCTACCTCACAGCCTCCTGGAAAGCAAACAAACTATAACTTTTCAAGATAACTCCCAGCATCTGGTTACAGCTGAACCGCTAACTTAACACAGCTCCCTCCCTTCCTTGTCGCTTAGCTACAACAATGCTTGGTCTTTAAAAGTGCAAGTCACTGTTCTTTGCCGGCCTGTATTATCGATCCTTGGCCCGTTCCTCCCTTGGAAAGTAAAATACATTTCCTTGCTTCATCTCTCCTTCTTTGTGAATTCTTTCCCAGCCCACGTCACCAGGCAAGCCCTAATGGAGGACAAAGGACACTTTCTCTGTTCCTTGCTGGTCCAGCCATGCCCAGGCTCAGGCAGGCAGCACAGCTGTCTGTGTGCTCGGGCAGAAGAGGCACATCTCATCCTCACCACCAAACAGGTCTTAAGTCTCCTCCCCACCTTTCCATCCCATCACTGTGGCTCCAAGAGGTGAGGGATAAAGAAATAAAATGGTATGTCTGCAAATGAGAAGTAGCCTGTGTTACCAGAACAGAACATGTAAGGCTGAGAGTAGAAAGAAGTGGTGGAAGAGACCATGTACCTCAGGCTAAAGAGTTGGGACTTTATTCCTGAGGAGCAGAGAGAGGAGGTAAGCACCAGACTGACAAGGTCAGATTAGTGTTTTAGAAAGATAACTCTGGGAGCAGCCATGTGAGGGATGGATTTGAGGTGATCCAGACCCAGGCAGGGAGACCAGTTAGGAAAGGTGTCAGTGCCTCTTAAACCTTATTGAATAGAACACGTAGAAAAAGGAGCAGCCTGTTTGATCAATCTGCTTAACTTTCACACCAGGACAAACGCTGAGCCAAGTCTTCCAGGGAAAAAATTAGAAATGAAAGATACCAAATTAGCTAATGATAATCAGCAGAGTTTAAGCAAGGACAAGTCTTTTCAAACCATGTGTATCATCTGACATAATTCAGGGATATGCCTTCAAAACCAAGTCAAGACACCCATCACGGCCTCTTGGATGGCCTCAGGTCTGTCTAGGAGATACAGTCATCGAATAAGCTGAAAAATCTGCTCATGCTGCAGTTCCTTTTCTGCACACAATTGTTTAATAGGCCAAACCTAGTGATTCAGCTTCAACCTGAAGGCAGAGATAAACGTGCCGAGGTGGGAGGAGTTGCAAGGGGGGATATTTAACATTTTAACCAATGATTGGTGATGAGAAAAAAGTGTGTGTATTAGCTTCCAGATGACACTTGGGCTAGTTGAAAAATAGGTCCTGTACTGAGAATTCAAAATGGCCAGCTATAATGGAGAAGTGACAAAATTTGCATTTAAAAATATTAAAGCTAAAAGAAAACCTCGAACTTCAAGAAATGGAGTCCCAGGAGAGATGTCGATGAGCTGCCAGGCCTCAAAGAAATAGTCTTCCTGCTCCTGCGGCCTGCTTGGCCTCACAAGAGTATCATAATCCACCACACAACAGGCCAGAGCTTGGGGTGGCTGTCAACACTGAGTAGGGCAGCATTTCTAAAACGTGTTTAATCCTACGCATCACTTGGGGTATGTGAAATAATAAAAATACACATATTGGTCTCTGCCCCCAGTTCCTGGCACAGAAGCACCTTAAAATTTTTCTAATTTCTAAGTGATAAGAGCACTCAGAGCATCCTTTGTTCTAACATTTTGTCTTTGACCCCAGTTCCTGAGACGGAGCTCCTATATCCCTTGTAATTTCCTGAGTAATAGAAATGTCTTTGTGCTAATGAGGCAACTCTTGGTGAGCTCCTGGATGGGTACTGCTCACCAGAAAGACCAAACCAGGATCAGAAGCTTGGAACTTTCAGCTCAACCCAATTATGCCATCCAGGGTAGAGATGAGAGGCTAGAGAATGAGTTAATAATCAATCCTGTCCACATGATGAAGCCTCCATATAAAGCCCACAAGTATGAGGTTTGGAGAGCTTCTAGGTGGTGAACACATCCACGTGCTGGGAGAGTACACCTGCCTCAGCTCCATAGGGACAGAAGCTCCTGCACTCGGGACCATTCTAGATCTTGTCCTTTGTGTCTCTTTATCTGGCTGTTTGCCTGTATCCTTTATCATATCTTTTAACATATAATAAACTAGTGAATGTTCGT